ATAATGCAAAGCCACCTTCTCCTTTTATCTCAAATTTACCTTGAACTTGAATTTGAAATCGGAAGAGCATCTTTTGACATTGGGAAACTTCAATCAAACACACTGAAACAATGGATATTATAAAATGTGTTAGCAAGCCTTACACGGCAGTAAGTGATCAGAGAGATTACAGAAGTATTTTGCAGCTTATGCCACAGACCAGCTACATAATCAAATTTCCAGGAAAGTAACCTACAAGCTCAAACTGGCAGTGGATCCTGCAGCACATAAAATTTGGAAGTCGTTATTACAGACTTGGGCAAGGAGAACTGCAAAAGCAAACTGAGCCAAGCAGGCAATTTCCAGTTCCAAAAATATGGGAGACACAAAATGGAGATATAGACTTGGAGTCATTGTTTGGTGAGTGCRCTAAAGCGGGACCTTTGTCTTTGTCCCACAACACATTTGAGTTATATGCTGGTAAAGAACAAAATAATGAAACAAAAATAATGAAAAGATGAGCGCAAGTGTCTCTAAAGTACAAAGAGAGATGGATATATCCTAGAATATAGTCTGCCTTTTCTAGACTTGATTACATACTATTGTGTATTTAGAAATAATTCTCATGAATTATTTTCAGCTGTTTAATGTGTTAGCATTAAAAACTCCAGGGCATAGTTAAAAAAAAAAAAAGAAAAAAAGAAAAAAAGAAGAAAAACCCAAATAACAGTGTATGTTCAAAACTATCCTCCAATCCATCCTTATAATGCCATGGGAAAGCTTCACTGGCCAAATGACCTGCCACCTGGGCCAAACATAACATATGTTTTGTGCTTTGTGTTTTCTGATTTTCAAAATCTGGATTAACAAAATTTGAAAGAAAAATATAATCAGGGAGCAGACTAGGCATAAAAAGGAAAAGATGAAATATAAAAATAGGAGAAAGGTCAAACAAGGAAAAAGGAAAGGGGAAACGACTGGTTAGCACCATCAGCAAATTGTGTTGACTAGCTATTCATTTCTTTTTCCTCTTTCTTCTTTTCTAAGCTATCCTGAATAAGGGTAGTAAACAGAACCCTAACTTGCAGACATACGTCATGATACTGCATGACTGAWCAATAAAAAGACAGCTGAAACTGAATGCAGATTTACATTGAATAATGCAAGTGCTGCAACAAAATCTAATTTGAGATATAAAGTGAGAGGTTCTGAACTATTACTGTAGGGAGGTAAGGGAAGAGTTTTTAAAGTTACAACAGGTAATGATGCTATAAAAATGACAACTGACCACCTACTCTCTGTCTAAAGTAACAATAGAATAATCCATAATATTAAAAATAAAGAAAAGAGAAGAAAATAAAAGATTTCAGCATGCTGGTGAATGAATCCGTGGTGTACTTAGAATGTGTGCAGTTCTGTTCTATCTTCAAGAGGATGCAGAACAACAAGAAGAGGTAAAGATAAGAAACACAGATGATCAACAGCATTTAAGGACTTCTATACAAGAAGAAAGTAAACGGTCTTCAACTTGAAAAATACCACAACTAGAAGGGCAAATATGGGAGGAGTCTATAAAATCTTGAGCAGAATCAGGAGTGGAATTGTGCAGTTGTTTCATCCAGGACTAGGAAATAGTACAATGAACCTAAAAGCTGACAGGTTCAAAATAGGCAAAGAAGACGACAGATTTAACACTGTCCATGTTAAACTGTGGAACTCTTTGCTACAAGGTTGTGGGCCACTCAAAATTTGCCTAGATTCAAAAAGCAATTAAAAAACTCACAGAAGAAAAATCTGTCAAGGGCTATTAAGTACACAGTTATTGCTGTGGCTCCAGAAGTCCTTGGACTGGAGAGGAGGAGGAGAGGAGGTTGAGAAAATGTGCACATCCAGTTCTCCCCAGCCCTGCATCTCCTCCCTAGAGCTGGGCAGCAACCCAGCCCTCATAAAACCTCAAGGCCTCCCTGGGAAGAGGGGGAGGAGGCTTTGAGAGAAAGAAAAGTGGGAGAAAACAATTGATTACAGAGGAGAAGAATGAAAAGAAACAGAGGGTTTTAAGGGTCAGGGGATAAAAAGTATAAAATGAGGTGACTAAGTGGCAGACCAAGCAAAGCACCTTGGCTGCCAGCCATTGTCAAAGACAACACTGAGCCTGGAAGACATTGCCTGAGCTGGTCCCGGCCTTCCTAGGTACCCATATACATTTAGCATCAAAAAGAGCGACCACATTTTAAGGTATGGTTCGGCAAGGCAATGTGCCTCTATTAGCACAGGACTAGAGCTCGATTTAACCATAAGGCTCATGGCAGTTACTGATGCTAATGTAAAATATGTGTTGCATCAGTCAGGCACAGCCAGGTCGTGCAGAAGCGAAAGACAAGCTCTAAAATCACTGAAGGGCCTCCTGAAAAGATGAAATAGGCTGAAAAGCCAAAGTAGCAGGGACCCGGGAGGACAGGGCAGAAAAGACACAAAAAGAAAACCAAAGGACATGAACTAGTGCTAGATATAGATATAGATATAGATATAGATATAAATATGAAGTAGTACATGTGTCTGGAGTCCAAGAGGAAGCTGACCTCAGAGAAAGGAGTAAGAAACAAATATCCCATTGCTGTATCCCAAGGGATGAACAAAGTTACAGTCCTCTAATGGCAGAAGAGGGAAAACTGAGACAGAACAAAATAGCTAAGTGGGAGAGTGAGTCCAGCACTTTGGGATACAAAAAAAGACAGAGAGATCTGGCGGCAGCAGGTAGGGATGGGGGTGGAGGTGCAAGTCCTTGCCAGAATCCATCAATTACTTTCTCAAGAAGCTGACAAAACATTAAAGCCAAAAGAAGGAGAATGTCGGGTAGGATGTGGGAGGCACGGCTGCAAAATCATGGCAAATACTGGAAGTGGCAATCTAGAAAAATCACAGCTGAGAGACCCAGAACTTTCACGATCAAATTCACAACCAGCAGCAACAGCCCCAATGAAGTTTCTTCCTCTCGAAAGGGAAACTTTTAATAATGTACCATTGGCTACAGAATCTGCAACACTAAGGGTATTCATGAATTCACAAATTGTTCATTTATAATGAAAAAAAATCTTTCCAAATAAAAATTGAAGTTTCTTTTGAAACCTCATTAAATATCATTTTAAAAATAAATGTTTGTGATTTTTAACTGGAGCTAAAGTTTAAATGCTAGCTGAATCACACCTGCATTTGAGTGACTCTCAAATATTTTTTCTACTGGATTTTTCAGAATTAATTCAAAACTTCAGGGCTTTTTTTTTTAATCACCAATGAACTAAAAAATCCTTTATTTAACTTCCTAAATTTGCATATTTTAAATCCAGGCTCTTGCAAAAAATATATGCTTTAAAGCACAAAAATCAACTCTTCCCAAATTGCATGCTATCATGAAGTTGGAAGTATGCCTTAAAAGCCAGAAAAACAGCCCTCATTTTGGAATAAAGATGACGACCACAGAAAGACCTTGTGAAATCTCCCTACCAAGCAGGGAGCATTTCAGCTTAGAGACACCTTCAGAGCTCTGCACAGCTGGGCCCCGCAGAGAGACAAATGGAGAAGGAAGGGGACAAAAACTGAGGCAGTCGATGTTTGYAGCCTCTATCCCTGCTCACAGGCAACATACCAGAGCACTCTTATTTCCAAACCAACAGATAAATAAAATGGATATTACTTAGAAGGGATAATCATGTGGTTTCTAACATCTTTGTATGCTATTTGCAGTACATGATTATAATGCACGGTAGAGACCTACAGAGAATGACTAAATTTTTCTTGTTGTTGTACAACTATCCTCTTCYATTTGGGCATAAGAGACAGAGCAAAGGACACTGCACCAGGGTACTGCACTTCCAGATTCTTCCACCTCCCTACTTTAATGCATTCTAGTATTTTCCCTAAATCAAATGTTCTATGTTGAACATATTACTAGATTTCCAAACTCCAAAAATATTTACTGAGGTTATCTCTACCCCAAATGGGCTAACAGGACATAGGGGGCTGGTCTGTAAGTATTACTATAAATTGTAAAGCCCTGAGATTTTTTTTAAATCCCATTTCAGCCTACCTGTGTCTGTGAGCTTTGTGCATGAATGCTGCAGCATGTCGCAAAAAAAGACAGGTAAAAATACAAAAAACACAAAATTCATCTAAAACTAAAAGCCAGTACACTGTCCTGTGTCCTTCCTTCCAGCGAGCCCTTCACTTCCTCTCCTCCTCTCTCAGAATCAAGAATCCATTTTTATTCTAAATTAAGGTACCTGCACGAACAATCCTGGTGAGGGGTTTTGTCTGGACACAGTTGCTGCTTCCCTGCTCCCACTGCCGCTGTTCTCAGCATGCACAAACCCGAAGCACATGCAAATCAGGGCTCTCTTGCCCAGTGGAACAGAATTTCAGCTCCCAATGCCAACAGTTGCCTACAGAAGGCATCTACATCTGGTCTGCCACATCCACGGCAGCAACCACAGGCGCACGTTTTGCTTTGTTTGGAATCCGTGGCTGCGCTGCAGCTGAGCCGCAGAGAGAAAAGCTTTGAGCCTCCGGGGTTAAACAGACAAATGTTTTCAGTCACAACAACTTTTCTTCCTTTTTTTTTTCCCCCCTTTTTTTTTCCCCCCTCCTCTTTTTTTTGCGGGAAAGCAAAGCCATAACAATGTATGTATGAGGTTTTATGTAAATCATTAAAGGCCTCCTGACTTAAATTGTTGCTAACACCAAGAAGTTGCTTAATGCACGCTTGAGAGTGTGAAGGCAGAACAGATGAATASTCTCACAAATCTTATTTGCTCAGTTGGAGAAATGCAAAAATATTTGTTAAAAAAAAAAGAAAAAAAGAAAAAGAAAAAGAAAAAATCTGATTCCTGCTTACTGCCATTCAAACGTAAAAGTCAAATTAATATTCAGCACTCCTTAGTGCCTGATGATTTTTACTGGGAGGCAGAAGGGGCAGATACAATCCATAAATGAAAATATTACTTTCAAATACACAATTCAATACCTACCTAGCCACTCGTTGAATTTTTTAACTTCACTAGGAAGTCCCAGCTCAGTAAAATCACCAGCATGTATTAACACATCTCCATATGGCATTTGGATGGGATCAGTTCTTGAATGAGTGTCAGAAATACAGACAAATCGAGTATATCCTGGAGGCTTGGGAGCATCATGGGGCACAGGATCAACCCTGTAAGAAATGTATCATAACAAGGTTATAAAGTATTTTCACGTCTGCTTTACAATTCTAATTTTTACCTTTACMAAAGATCCTACTATTTTCTAGATTTGCCTGATGGAAGGAACTGATTAGAAAAAAACTAACACTAATGGGAGGTAGAAATTTTTGATGTTCACAACACAACATTTTCAGTATTTGTTGGACAGATGGATTACTTTGAAGAGATTATGGAAAAGAGATTGAACTATGGCAGTAACTCTGAAACAAACACAAATAAATCAAAGGCAATGCCAGTTTCAAAGGAACAGCACTATCCTRTCGCATTGTTTAAATGTGATTACACGGTACACAGGGAAAAGATATATTTCAGATACATAAATACATTTAAATGCATTTTTCTAATTATAACTTTTTCATGMAGGTTATATAATTCCAACAAATTTAATTAACACATTTTAGAGATATGTTTCAGTGTGCTAATGCAAAGCAAGATAAGAACTCCGTTGACAACAGCTGCAAATGTACGTTCAAGCCTGACTATTGTCAGGACAACTGTGGCAACTTTCTAGGCTTAATGATACTAAATGAAATCAGACATTGTGAAGGGGGAGGTTGTATTGTTCAGAGCTCAATCTCAATGCTCAGAACTGAGCAAAAGAAAAGATCTACCCCAGTTTTATGAGACACAGTCATGACAGAAGAGGAGAGCAGAAAATASCTATCTGCTACATGAGGTACACTCACTTTCAACTCATTCAGTTTTTTTACCCTCAATCCATATTTCATCAGCATACATACAAGCTAATACATCTAGCTATACCATATCTGCTATTTCAGTCAGGGAAATTCTGGCAACATAAACCCAAAAAGTATGAGATGCAAGAGTTATTTGTATGTCTCTAGAAATGTGAGAGATACACAGAATTGTTATGAATTATTTCACTTTTTAAACTTCTATTCTGAAAAGACAAACAAAATTAGTCTTGTTCACTGTCATAATATATATCACATATTTCTATCCCTTGCTGGTTGTACTTCAATTCAGGCTCTTACTTTCATACAAATAAGACCCACAAGAAGGGGAAAAAAACACATTAGAGATCTTTGTTATGAATGCCACTATTCCCGAGCTTATTGGGTAAATTTCCAGAAGGCATGGGATTACTTGAAAGGCGTAAGATAATCATCTTTGATCACAACCTCTTCTCTGTGTCAAAAAATTCTACCAAATTTAAATTCCCTACTTAGTAGGGAAACTAAGGTGCTTGTGAGAATTTCACAAGACTGGAAAGCGAGTAAAGAACAACATCTAAAACATTTCAACTTCATTAAACACTGAAAAAAGAGTTCTTAGCATTTTCTACACTATAGCTACAAAGCAAGTATATGAGTAAATTATCTTGTATCTGTCTTTCTTATACCATTTTAGGGATAAAAACTGTTGTTTTCTTTTTAAAAGCCATTACATTAAGCATCAGGCATTCATGAGGGGTTTTTATAGCCATTCTGGAGAAATGGCCTTTTAGTATGACTGCCTTGTAGCCATCTTTCTAAATTTCCACTTCCTGAGGAAGGTGCAGTGTGTGCAAAGGGTGCTGCTCATGGATAGCAGCTCATGGATAGCCTGGGAAATGAACTGGGATGGCTAGCGAGGGATGACTGGAAGATGGCCTTGGTTATCATTGCAGCCCTCCAAGGCAAAGCAATTAAGCACCATTACAGCAAACTCCTGAATATTCCTCCCCCTRCCAGCAGCTCCTAAAGCAAGTTACACACTGTTAGCCAGGTTTGAACTATGCATACTCTTCTAGTTTGAAATTACGAATGTGGACAGATCRAAGTTATGCTCCTTCAGTTTTTAGGGTAGCCCTTAAAGCTCCTGAGGGTGCTTCTTCTCCCTCAGAAACCTTTCAAAGCCCAGGCCAGCACCAAGTTGGATGTCAGGGAATAGCATGCACCTCATATGCTCATTCTCCGAAGCTCAACAGAGAAACAACAGACTGACTTAGGCACAGCAACCCAAGAAGCACACCACACATACGATTGCCCTTATAGTTTGGATGGGGTGGCTGAGAGGTGTGGACAGCACTCTGACAATTTGGGGGGAATGCATAACTTCTACATAGTGTGCAAAGGGCCAGAGAATTCACATAAAGAGTATCAATACACTGAACCAAATAAATTAGATACAGGTTTTCACGCTCAAAAGTTAGGCACACACTGAGACCATATGTAAGTAAAAACATATATCAAGTTTCACAAAGGTGTTTAAGTTATGTTATTGGAAATGATATCTGAAGGCTTGGTCCCCYTATGCTTGTGTAACACCTTGCTCAACAGCTGCCACAACAGCACCCAGTGCACTGCTTGCAACATGAGCAGAGGTGCTGGTTAGTTTTGTGCAAAGGCTGAAAAGCAAAACTACAACCTCAGTGCAAATCTTCTGTTCGGGGTTGTTTTATACACAAGATTTCTGTAGAGTAGCACAAAGGAGCAATATAGGAACTTTGTAGAAATGATGGAGGGACTTGAAAGCACTGTCAGAACTTACTGGCTGCCTTGTCAGTGGCAAATTGGTCATGGCACCAGCACAGACATGACAAACAAGGATGAGGCCAGGAAAATGCTGTTAGCRTGTTCTAGGCACTTAGAGGTGAAACAAGAAATACAAAATGACACTGAGATCCAAGGCAGGGGTGCAAAACTGAATTCCAAAGCAAAAAGAAAAACAAAACCACACACACACACAAATACTTACGGTGGCAGTAGTTTAACACAAGTTCACTTGTCAGCAGGTCTGTGAAATCTGTTTATGACTGCCTTCTACATCACTAATCTAGGTATTTTGAAATATATACAAAGACAAGGCAAAGCCCTCGCTTCTCTAATATTAACGACAAATCTTGCATGGGCTAAGATTTCACCCATCCCAATGAAGGGGCTTTTGTCACGCTTATATATACTTTTCCCTTTTTGGTCCCTATTCTATTCACTGGTAAGAGACAAAGCAATACTGTCAGTATTCAGAAACATTATTTGCAATTTCTGTAGCCGGAGAGAGAGAAGGTCAGATTGTGGTAGATGTTTCAATTGATCTCGCCTGTTCTCCTATTTGCACAAGCTTTTTCAACAGTATTAATCATTCATAAGAGATGGCTAAACTCTTGTGAKGAACTTTTTTCTCCGGCTAGCTTGTTCTGAACTGCTTGCTTAGGTTCTGAATTCCTATCATGCAGCTGATGGTCTAAGTCCTCTGGTAATATGATTTGTTACTGGTGAGAGGCTTTAGCAGCATATTGGTGAGTTCCAARGGGCTACTAATAAGTTACTTGTCTTCAATCCAGTATTTTGCCTGTAAAAATCATTTAATTTTTAGGACTGGTGAACACATTCGTAAGTGCGGGGAACTATGTGAATATTCACAGAGAACYATTAAACTTCAGCAATTAAGTGATCTGCATTTGGCATTTTGATTTACAGAAGTATTTCGGAACCCACATTTGTTTGTTTCTATTTTTGCTACCATTTGCCAGCTCTCTAAACAAAAGATGTTTCCCAGAGCTAACACCCAACTCATTTTTATTGTTTGCATTTCAGCAGTATCTAAAAGCCTCAAACACATTCTATAAACCATACATTGCTCCCCAAAAGTTCACCATGCAAATATATTTTAGTCTACCTTTAAAAAAAAAATACAATGTCTAATTTATGCCAAATAATTTACATAAAGCATCCCAGAATAGAGACCAGAGCATCCACTTCGTCACTGAGTTTTTAACCGCAAAAATCATGGCCTATGTTCAGAGATCATCAAATCATATTAAATACAAAAAATGTGAATGAACCGACTATTTATTCCTCATAAAGAAACTAAAGTTTTTGTTAAAAAATAAAAAACAGGCTTCTGATCTAAAGATAAGACTGCTTCTCTCTTTAATAAACACAATAAAATGTTGAAGACATTTTTATTCCCTATAAAAATATTTTACAGTAGAATTTTATACTTAATTTATTTGTAATGGCTTAACTGTTTTGTTCTTCCTTCTGGCTTTAAACTTTATGGCAGGTTTCATTTTGTAATTATAATTCTCCACTTTACATTACAAGTAAATCATTTAGAGCAGTTAATTTTACTGATGTCGTCATGATATTAGAAGTCAGAAACAAACACATTATTTTAATTACTCTTTAAGCACTTGGCACATTGTTGGTATGAAAGTGAGTTGTCGGATGGGTGCCTGCACTCTTTTATTTATTGRTGTCATTTTTCCCTTGTATGTAGCTGCAAGATAACTAATGAAACAATAGGAAAATATCTGTTGTGAACACAGGCTTGGCATTTAAGCTGCTGTTTATATCAATAAGCAAGTGCACAATGGTAACTGTATTAAGACCGTGGAAAGTATCATCCTTGTAAAATTTTTTAATACCACCACATGTTGTTCGTTTCCCTTTCTAATGCACCAGTATCAAGTCAGGCTGGCGGAGTGATCTTTCTTCCATTCTTTAAAAACTACTTACACTTTCCAAATGGACCGATCTTGTGTCATTACAGTAATTAGTATTAGAAAGGCAGCAAAACAGTGTCGCTCTTTGAATTCTCTTTGACTGGCCCATCAAACACCACATCGACAAGGCAATAACAATTCAGAAGGCTGTGTGAGAGCCGTAACAAAACTATAATACTTACATTTGCACATGCGGGGGCTGAAAACGTCCCTGGTTAATGTTGTAGAACGTGAACGCCTGTGTGGGGTTGGAGCTGTACTCATCCACCTCGATGATGAGTCTGCTGTGCTGGTGCCTTCTGGCTGCCATAATGTGCGACTGGGCGAAAGCCATGCTTGCAGCGCGGGGCCGGCCCTCCTCAGGCGATCATACCTGCTATCTTCCTACATCGACAGAAGAACACCATGACATCTCCTTACCTAATCCGCACGCTCCCCCTTGGAAAACCTAAAAGCAGATGGAAGAGACGGAGCATAACTGTTTGACAGCTAATCTGTTTGGGATTTGCTTTATTTAATGTCAGATGAAGATTAAGGGGGGATACGGAGGGAGGAAGACATACGGCTCGAAGAATTCATTACAAACCTTTCCAACTCAGCAATTTGATGAATATACTCGAGTTCGGGGTGGGACGTGGGAGAGAAAGTAAACTAGCGAAGGAACACAGAGGGTAACCTGTTCAAATAGGCCAAACAGTTCAAAAACATAATACCAATTTAAAACACAAGGCAGCTTCCTCAGAACGCTGTGTCAAATTAKAATATTTTGTCAACACAATCATCAACTTTATCTTTTCTCTGATTGCTGCTGAATGTTTATAGATAGGCACCTTCAAAGGGAAAAGAAATAAACAAAGAAACAAATTTGACACAGAGCACCAACTTGTAGATGACTAAAAYGCAAGTTAGTTAAAAAGAAGCAATTTAACCATTCCTTCAGAAAGTCTGTGCCACTCAYTAAGGAGTGTACTGTGAGTAGTTTTCCTTTACATCTTAAGAAACTGGGCTCATGTCAATACTTGCTCCTGGTTTTTAGTATCACTGAAAGAACTTCTGATAGTGACATGAGGGATTTGCTCTACCACACACATCCTCCCCTCACACAGCAGTGGCCCCAGATTCCGGATTCACTGACAAAGGAAGTGACTTGAGGCCTAACACACAAATGAAATGTATTAAATATTAAAAAAAAAAAAAAAAAAAAAGGAGAATCAATAGAGGTTTTATGTTTGGGAATAAATTTTGCCCAAAGGTTATATAAGTACAGAACAACAGCTCTGCAAACAGGATGAGAAAGTGAAGCCAAGTGCAATGCAAAGAGTATCCCCCAGAAACATCAGAAAGCAAATTAAATGTGATTTTTACTTTTATTTCCCAGTTTTAATAAAAAACGGATTATAGGCAATAAGGTTGGGTATTTTTACAGTATAATTTTGCATCCTTTCTAAAAGTTGTCTAACTTAAATATTTACTTTCATGCTAGCAAGTGCTCTTTTCTTCTGCCCAACACAAATAATCTACTTCAAAAGTAAATGCATTTACTCAAAAACCATGCTAGAATGCAGCAATTCACTAACTAGGTGCAGTTTCTGGGAAGCAGAACAAGTTCATGCGACCTTGCTGATGTTTCTTACTGCCAGTCTGATGGTACCAAGAATGATAGATGGGGAAGGTCTTCATAGTCGCAGGGGTTTTTAAAGCTATTTATAGGTATGTTGGGCCAGTTCAATTCCARTGGGAGGCAAGCAGCCAGGCAATTTCAAAAATCTGAGCTTCAGTCCCTTGCCTAACTACTAAAGATCACAAGTGCTCCAAGAAGCGGCAGTGTATTTTCGTTTTGAGGAAATTTATCCTTTACAAAACCAGAATGAGAGATTCAGCTCATTTTACTTGCTGAATGGCTGTAAATTGACAACAACTTGCTATCACTGAAAACCTGCTGGAAAACAGTCTGAGAATAAAAGAGCAGATTCCTTCATGCTCTTCCCCAGAAATGATTGGTAAGGAAATRCTAACAACAAAGAAAATTGTGGATTTTAAACATTCTCCAATGCTGTGTTCAGGCTACGAAGGAGCAAAATGGAATGAGCGAGAGCAGAGGGAAGGGAGCACGATCCTTGTAAGAATAATTGAGTACAAATTGCTGCATTTAGGAAATAAGAAATTAAGATGGCAGATGTGAGGAACCCTCCCTGAGGAGCTTCCTGCATGAAATGATGCATTTTTAAAGAAGTTTGTATGAGCAAGGTCAGACCCTTTATAGGGGGCAAGCTGTTCTACGTGGATCTACTTCTGTTTGAAAGAAACTGTTGGAACCGGTGACTTCTAGAAATACTCCACAGTCTGATTAATAATTTGTGATTCTGCAGCTCTACATGGGGCCATCAAACTACCTAAAGCAACTACCTGTGTTTTATAATTCAAAGATTATGCTCATTTTACACACAACTGAACAGCAGTTATGAGGATTTAAGGCACTGCCCAGTAAGACCTAGAACCTCCATTTGGGCTCAGTGCTTACAACAGCGAAGAACATGACTTTTGCCAGCCTACTCTTTGGGTCCTGTCCTTTGTGACCTCTCTCAAGTGATGTGAAACCTCCTGCAGAAACAGTGGATGTCGTCAAGTATCCCAATATCCACATTCATGCTCTGCTTCCTCTTTCCAGTGGAAAACAGCACTTTCCAACACAAACTTACAGTCAGAGAGTCACAGAATGGTTGGGGTTGCAAGAGATCCCTAGAGATCATCTAGGCCAACCCCACTGCTCCAGCAGGGACACCCAGAGCACGGGGCACAGGGCGGCATCCAGGTGGGTTTGGAAGACCTCCAGAGAAGGAGACTCCACAACCTCCCTGGGCAGCCTGTGCCAGGGCTCTGGCACCCTCACTGTAAAGAAATTCTTCCTCATATGAAGGTGGAACTTCCTCTGTTTCAATTTGCACTCATTACCCCTTATCCTATCCCTGGCCACCACCAAGATCCCCATCGTCCCTACGTTCTCCCCTCTGGTACTTATACACTTTGATCAGATCTCCTCTCAGTCTTCTCCAGGCTGAACAGGCCCAGCTCGCTTAGTCTCTCCTCATAAGATAGATGCTCCAGTCTGTTAATCATCTTTGTCGCTCTCCGCTGGACCCTTTCGAGAGGTTCCCTGTCCCTCTTTTACTGGGGAGCCCAGAACTGCCCCCAATGCTCCAGGTGCGGCCTCACCAGAGCTGAGGAGCGGGGCAGGATCCCCTCCCTCGACCTGCAGGCAACCCTGCTCCTGGTGCAGCCAGGATCCCATGGGCCTTGATGGCCACGAGGGCACTGCTGCCTCACGGCTACCTTGCTGTCTCACAGCCCTTTCGCAGCCCTTCTCCCGCGGAGCTGGCCAACAGAAGCCAGGCCCAGCAAGCGGGCGCTGCCGCCCCGCTCAGCAGTGGGGAGCCCCTGGAAGCGGGAGCTCTGCTTGCACACGGCAGCGGGTGTGAATCACGGCGCGGGGCCAGCCTGCGAGCATGCCAGCCACAGGCACTCAGCAAGAAGTTCCCCATACAAACATGTGGGAGACGGGAAGGCAACATGTCTCACTTGAGGTAAGACGGAAAAAAAAAAAAGGAAGGAAGAAAAGATGCCACAGAACTGCTGAGCCTTCTGCCAAATGACAGGCACACAATGTCAACCCTGGACACATAAAAAGCATGCAAGACAGGAGGAAAAAAAAACACAAAAAACAAAGAACCAGCTCCTGCCATATAAAACAGAATAAATAGCAATCACATAAACAGTTCGTGCTAGACAAAAATCAGAATATTGTAACATACATAATCAGGAAGCATAATTCAATAGGGAGGTTTATTCAAGCTCATTTCAGAAACATACACAGATGTCTTTGAACCTTACCTTTCAGTCTAGGGTTGCCTTCCTGCATAAGTGGTTGGCTCACTACGAACATTCTTGGTGTTCGACAGAACAAGCTGTCTCTTTCCAGCTTGACTGATAACCAGACTGACATCCATTATTATCCTCTCACTGTTTTCCTTTCCAATACTCCCCAAATTTATAACTTTTTTTCTTCTTTTAATAATCTGAAAATTCTTTTCCCAAACCAGGGTGTGAAATGCAGCAGGGAAATAATTACCTGCTGCTATAGCGTGCAAGTTTTAAAATTATGTGCCCAATATTACCAACATAGAGCATTAAGACTCAAATCCCCACAGCAACAACATGCTAACCACCCTCTTCCCCCAGACTTATGGAGCTGCGGGATGTCTGCCAGGGAAAAACAGAGAAATGTAAAAAGGACTGCAAGAACATGAATACTAAAATAAATATCACAAACCTGGCTGTTACAATCACAGACTGAGCAAAAGCTATTAAATCAGCTAAGCCATCTTCTTACTGATCTCGGGAATGTTCTCCGTGTTTTTTTCTGCTGCTTTCTCTAGTCTGTTCAAATGTCCACAGAGCCTTGATCTGCAGTCTAAAGTATAAAACAGACATTGTTCCACTGTCCTCAGTAGGCTTTGGGTCAGGCCATACAGTATTTGGATTATGCCACCTCTTCTCAGGAATTACTGGGCTAGGCAGGTGGTTGAACACAGGCATATATTCACAGGAATCTAATTTACATGGATTTTCCAATCTTTTTATATCTATTGTTTCTCTTTTTTCTTTCCCTTTCGTGCCAGCATTCTACATTAATCTCACTTCCTCGCCCCCAGATTCTGTTCTTCTCCGTCCACCCATCCTGCAGTTCTCTCCCTTTCTCCCTATGGTCTCTCGCCGTGGCTACTGATCTCTACAGTGCCCTCCGTCATCTACTCTGTTTCCAGCCCAAGGACAATACTGAGAATTTTGATAGTGATTCCAGTGAAATTAAATAAGCACCTTAGACTTGAGAACACCACGGCTCAAGCAGATATCACCTGAAATAACGATGAAACCAAGACAAAATAACGAAAACAATGATGTTATCGTTATAACAACACAAAGAAGACACAAATTAAGAAATGAAACTGCTAAGAAGAAACTTGCTGAGCAATGACCTTTGCAAGGCTGTGAAAAAAACTGAAGGCAAGGCGCCCGACCTGGCTAGAGCCAGGCACCATGGCAAGAATTGAAGAGCAGCAGTTGCACAAATAATTGTGAGACAGCAAGAGGAAAGAAGAGAAGACTGGTACTAGCTCAGCAGCAAAGATGCTACAGAAAAGATGGGAGTTTTCACAGAGCCTGACAAGCTGGGATTTGAGGATGCAATGGAGAAATGAAATCATAAAAAAGATCTTTTCATGCAGCTATAAATCATCAAAACTGTATTTTTTTTTCAGGAAAAGCCCATGATATAGCAGCAGTAAAATACTTCAAAGAAGTGTGTGAGAATCTGTTACAGATGACACAGTCACACATTCACTTTTTGTGCAAACCACTGACACTATTAACCAGAAACCCTACCCAGAGTTTGGTCAGGACCATAGGTCTGATCTTCCCCTGTACTGAGAAGAAACTGCTCTCTGCGACTTGTCAGTTCATCTTTTATATGGAAAAGCAGATCCTTTCATTAAACAAACAAACACGACACAGTGGCTTCTGCAAGAATGGTTCCAAATTTTATAGTAACATTTATAGTAACATTGCTATAATCTCTAGGAAGTAAATTATCAAAAAAATGCTATATTTTTGATTTAAACTCTCCCTCTCCCCAAAATATACTAGAACCACTAAAGCAAGCACTTATTCTGATAAACAGGCTAAACCTCTAATGTCTTTTTGCTGTCTAAAATACACGTTTCACACTCCAGCTAGAGACTCCAGCTAGAAACCAATCAATAGAATTAGTTTGCTATCTTCAGTTCTGCCATCAGGAAACGAAGCCTGAAGCCCTCCTAAAAAGGCAATATTCTGCRGGAATGGATGCGCCAGGCACATCGCTCTGCAGCAGAGCGCTTCTCCAAAGGGATACACTCTCCTCTTCCTCCCCTTCACTTTCTGAAAGAAACAGACTGCAAATCCTGGCAAACCACATCCACTGAGTCTTCCCTTAGCAGACTGCATTGGATTCACTTGACAGCGAGGCATCTGAATGCTCTTAACACACTTGTGGACATGGAAGGCAGCGTAATCAAATGTCATCGAGATGCTTCTAGGTACTAAGGTTGATCATATGCACTTCTACTGATAGAATCATTAGGCTTCCTAAAGGAATATAATTTGTCATAGACAGCAACATTTGCAATTGCATTAAAAAAAAAATACAGCTACAGTTTATAGCATGGCACTTACAAGCCCTCTTTTGCCAAAGCAAATGCTTTATGTACCTGCAATCAGTGTCAGTGGGAATTAAAAAAGTGTTAAAAAATATCCAAAACAAACAAACTAACAAAAAAAAAACAGACACCTTGAGGATATTTGCATGATAATCTGTGGACTCATTCAAGGTGTTTATCACCCTTACAAACTTCAGGAGTTCTACATTATGAATTTAACAATCTACAAAATTCTGTTTGGAAACCTAACCCCACTTAAGCTACAGAAGCTGTGCGGCATTTGAGATTGTTAGCTTTTCTAAATGTCAGTTTAGCTCTCGCGAAACGTGCCAGGGTGACAGCCTTCAAGCCTGAAGTCCTCTATCCCCAGAACAGACAGAGCACACACAGAGGGGCTGGCACACACATTAGATCTGGCATATTTCCCTGGGCTGCCTTTGTGTCTCAGACCTAATCCAGAGAAAACATTACTGAAGGGCAGCTCCAACTCCATAGCCACACATTCTAAGAAATCACTGTTTTTAAACAGCAAATAAATGTACGAATTTGGGTGAGGTTTGTAATGTAGATTCATCTCCACTGAAAACTGGAATGCACTCACCAATTCATTCACTGAGTGCCATGAGATGGCAAAATATATTGCACCATCTGCTTTGCAGGGCACAACATGTAGCTATACTGCTATACGAGTTTGTCAAGTTGCTTTAAGGTCAAAAATCTGAATAAAACCTTTACAAATGCCTCTTACCATGGATTTCACAATTCGCATTGGGCAGCAAGAGCCCATATTCTCCACGATGCTATAAAACCTCATTTTCAAAAACCTTTGTTTCAGGTGTAATTGACAGAGACCTTAAGCACCCCCTTTCTCAGTTCCAGCTCTCCTTGGTGGATGCTACTTAAAGAAGTCTGCTTAAGGGAACCATATAATCACCATAATTTATTAAGGGGCCCCCTTTGGAGGATCTTTTTAAAACATACATGTCTGAGATTCTGAGATTATTTTTTCTTTTCTTTTATTTTCTTTTGTGCTAAGGAATCTGATTTTGCTAACCTTTATCAGTTAAATAATATTCAATGCTATGGCCATATCTTTTCTGTCAGAAAGTCTGAGCTATTCCCATTCACATACCAAAACCAGCGGGTATAATTCTGTGTTATTTGTACGCCTACAATGTATGTATGTATACTGACCTCAATGGGAAGAAATGCAAGATCTATCTTCTTCTGTTTAGGAACTTCTATTTCTGCTATCAATGAACACTTCAGTGCCTCGCCGTATATATCAGATTTGCTACTGCAGATCTACAGGGTAACGAACAAGCTGTTTTGTAAGGTGAAAAAAAAATAGCGATTTAAATAAGACCTCTTATTTCTTGCTAATTATAATTACCTTAGAAAACAACAACAAGATCCCCTAAGTTATTTCTCATCAAGGAAAAAAGCACACGTCATTGTTCTCCCCTGCTGATCATAATAACTTGTCAAATACGTTATGACAAAATTCTTCGATGAAGTTAATCTTTTCTTCAAATTATTTTCCTGTGCTGCTCTCAAATATAAATATTATACATGTTTCTCTTGTTGCTTTATTTTTAAAAAACACCAACACACTAGTTGGCTTAAACTGTCACAAAAAGATTATATAGACATGGCAAGTAGTATAGAAGGGAAATGAGATAAATAAACTGTCTTTTGGAACTATGCCCTTACATTCCTCTCTGTGGAGTCTCCTCAACATATATATTTTACCTACTATATGCCAAAGTTCTGACCAGGCATCCAGAAAAACAGGTATCCAGATGAATGAATTTGGAAAACCTAAAATTACAATAGTAATAGCCTGTGAAATCTAACTCAGTACTGATTTAGAATGGATACCTCTTAGAAACCTTCCTAGCTAGTCCCATTTTAAATTATGATTGAATTAATTTTATATTCTTAATTCCTAAATTATTTTTTTATTAATTTTCCCTATATATTTTGGGAAAATACATACTTGGGAAAATACATCCCAAAACTACAGTAACTGAATCTTTTTACAGAGATAAAATTTTGTTTCATTATTTCATTAGTGTCATTTTCTAAATTAAATCCTCATCCATATAGAAAGCTGTTCATTTATTCAATTTAAAAAATAAACACAAACTACCAATACTTGTTTTTACCTTTACTTTCATTTTACAATATAACCAATACATTTTGGGACTTAAACCTGCAATACTTTAAGATGTACAAATACACTGAGCAATTTTCAAGGCTAAATGTTTTATTATAATCCTATATGTGATCTTGCCTGAACATAGAAAACACTGTATTTGGATAAAATATTTAAATTGATCCATTTTTCTTAGGTAAAACCAAGTCTCTCCCCTCAAAAATATACTGTTTGGCACAATATTACCCATATTTATCTGCAAATACCTGCAGAGGTAGCTAATCTATTTAAGTAATTACCTCTAGGGAAGGAAATTTTAAATAAACATCTGAACGCCACAAAACTCATTCTTCACTCTAAAAAATTTACTTTCATCTCCAGCAGCATTTCAGAATCTGTTATGTTACTGCAAATCATGGGTATACATTTATACAAGAAAAATTACAAGTCCCAGAATGATAATACCCATTCTGAGGAAAAATACCTAAAAATACAGGTTATGTGGAAAAAAATACTAAAAAAGGACATTCTCATAGGAGTAAATTAGGGCTGTGGTGATTTGACTGTGTATCATCTCAGCTGGCAGTTTGGTCCTGCCATTTGATTCAGCTCTTGAATCTTTTCAAATGAAATATGATTTAGTTAGAAAACGAATACGTAAGTATGGATATATTACATGTTTAAGAAATGAAGGCTTGGTTCAAATTTATAGCTGCAGAGTTTTGTTTCTTTTTTTTTTTTTTTTTCAGCTTTTGTGACAACTGACCAAACACTTATTTTCCAGGTTTCATTTGTATAATCTCCCCCGGGTCAAATCCACTGCCTTACCACAGCAGCCATCCAAACTGGGCTCTACTGAAATTGCATGTAAATGCACAGAATTAGGCCCAATTGGTTGCTCACGCCTAGCAGAGAGCAGAATACATCCCCCATGGACTARCCTGTTTGCTCAGGTACCAAAATTGTATCAGAACATGGCAAAGCCTGACGCTGAGCAGAGCATTTTTGCAGTGCTCCCATACTTGGAGGTTAGTAAGAACTGGGAAATGTTGCCTCGTACCAGGCAAGTTACTCCCAATAAAGCAGCCTGCAGCCTTTCCCGCTTGTTAAGCAGCATCTCTTAGTCTGGCAAGGATTTGCCAATCTTTTCTTGCTTCAGACAAAAATCTAACATTACAAATCTAACCATACTTAAAAGGCAGATATCTCGGTGTTAATACACATGAACAGAAAAATACAACTGGCTATCTATCCACTTCTGCCGTTCAAGATGAATGAAATGCCAGAGTATAAGCTCACAAGGATACATAATATAACAGGTGGAAAGTTAAATACAGCCGTAAGTATACCTATAATGATAATTGTTGAGATCAGCACATCATTTTTTATTAAGGGCTGAAGTTCAATTATAGAATAAATGGTGTAAATCTTTTTAAGACATGCGTTTTTCTTCTCAGACACAAAACTTTGAAAATTAAGTATATTGCCCTATTAATTACGCTGTTTACCCCTTTCTATCATTTAGCTACATTTGTCCCCACTGGAATCCTCCAGGTCATCCCATTAATACAGAGAACGAGTCAGTGCGTTTGCCCCCTTTTCATGCCCACACAAATGCATCCCAAAAGGTTCACAGGACAGGGAGGCAGAGGCAGCTAAACACCTTCTCCTTCAAAGAGAAGGASAGAGGAAAGATAAAAGGGGGAAAGACCCAGACAAGCAGCCCTGCTGGGGACTGACTCAGGTCAAGCCCCTCTGGATGCTCTCCAGACCTCATCKGGATCCTGCCACTTTTTCATCACTAGGATTCAGCCCTACAGGGCCTTAGCACAGGGCCACTTCCACACACTGCTCTCCCTGATGCCCGAGGGGCTGCCCAGGAGGGAAGCAGGATTCGAACAGCAGCTTCATGGAGTCAACCGCCGCACGTTACCCACGGCAGCGCGGCCAGCGCAGGCGGGAGCGGTCGCGCTGCACAACACTGCTCAGGAGCCGCCCAACGCGTGACCGACCGCTTGGTCACTCAGTGACTGCACTGGCTGCCACCAGCTGCTCACACCTGTCTGCACTGCTGAGCTGTGCAGGCTTGAAGAACTCGTTTGAAAAGTTATTTGGGCTGAATACAACTTGTCATTTGAACCCAAAGATGCTACAGCAAAGGCAAAAAATTAAGTGGGTAAAAAGTAAATGGAAATCTAAATGAGCAGATATCTTGGAGGGAAATGCCAAATTATCCCAATGAGACCACTACACRTTTTTGATTTTCTTTTCCCTTACCACTTAATTGATCAAATTGGTGAAAGTGGGACAATTTTTAGGGGTATTTCCAAATCCAAATTTTCCATTGGAAACTCTTTAAACTGACACTTTTTATTTCAGTTTTTTTTAAGGCACAACATTGCTAACTACTGGCAGTAGCTGAGTTTTAATTCATCCTCTCCTCTATGCATTAGGCAAGATATCTTGAACTTTTACCAAAAACTACTCACTCAAAGGGCTTCAGTAGGTGTGTTGAGAGGCAAAACTGAGATACACCTTAGAAAGAGCAGAAGATAAGCTCTAAAGTTTTTTTTTTTTAAGTTTTTACTATCAAAAAAGGAAGAGTGTCTGTCCACTAAGTCAAAGTAATGTTGTAATTATTTATTATTTTTGTTATTTGAGAGCTCACAGACCCACTGAGATCCAGGAGCAAATTGTGGTAGGCACAGTGCAATCACTGAGTATCTGCCCCAAAGARTTTACAGTCTGCAGAAATCAAACAAAGGAAATGAGGGAAAAATATTTCAGCACTACAGAGAAATAATCGGTGCCATGGCAAAACACTATATTTCTTCCATTTTCTTTTCCAGAAAAGGAATGGTTAATCAGGATTAGCTCCATAAAGACAAGTGCAGAGAGAAGGTAGGATATGATGGAGTAGTTGAGAAGAAGAAAAAGACGGTAAGAAAGAAAGTGGCACGCTGAACGTTTGAGGTAGAGAGCATGTCAAGCAAGAGAAGCGACTGTGAAAGCTGGCAGAGAGAGCTAGAGCAAAACAGCCAATTAGGAAAAGGCAGAGAAAAAACAGTCAAAAATATCYGTAACCATCACCTCCTTCTTAGGCTGCTTCTGCAGCTGCTCTGCTGGCTTCAGTCTTTGGTTGCACRGCAAGACCTTCATCTGCCATAAAGCAAGTTCCAACGGCTGTATGGCAGGTGACCACAACTTAAAAAAGTCAAATGGGAATTTTGCACAAAAAAAATAGCTCTCAAAAAGATGCATATGCCATATATAGTAAACCTGCAACTGGAAGAAATGTATAAACTAAAACTATGTAACAAGTTAGAGCAGATACTTCAAACTGAAATGTATCACACATACCTTTGAAAACAGAGGTTTGAAAAAGCTAACCAATTCTTTTCCCGCAGTATGAGCAAGGCTTTCCATAACACACAATACAGTGTGCTTAAACGACATTACAGACCCAATCTTGCTCCCACAGTGGATAACACGATTTGGGCTATTTAAATAGTGACTGAATGCAGCAGTGTTAAACATTTTGTATTTAAGTTAGTGTAATGAATCCCTAATCAGTTGTGACTGCAAGTTACTACATATAGACGGGGATAGTTACTTGTTAATCCGAACATAATTCCCACTGTCATATCAAACACAGCAAAACTGGCACACTTGTTGACAGCTTGTTGAACAGTGAGGTCAAGCACTGAGCAGTGGCAAAGATCAAACTACACGTTCCCCTCTAGGGGTGGTCTCTAAGGTGGCAGGTCACTACCATAACAGTTCTGCTCCTTTGCACAACATATCTTATATCAGACTGTCAATCTGCATTCCTGCTCAAGCAGTTTTTTACTTGCAATAGCAGGCTCCAAGGATGATATTCCAAGAGGAATACGAAGGACAACTGTCACACAGAATCACAGATCGGTTGAGGTTGGAAGGGACCTCTAGAGACTATCTAGTCCAACCCCTCTGCTCATGCAGAGACACCTAGAGCACWTGGCAAGGGGTCACATCCAGGCAGGTTTGGAAGATCTCCAGAGAAGGAGACTCCAAGTGATTTTACATTACTAGCCTTGCTTACATTTTGAAACATAACCTAAAACATGTATTTAAGTTAGAAATTGTAACTGGAGACCACCTGGCTTTTACATACTCTGACAAAAAACCTGTTTCACCCATGGACAACGATTCCTGAATCTAGCCTGGTGTACAGTCCAGAACAAGTGGATTAAAGTTGACAGCACTGTACTTAATCTTTTTCTGAGACCTCAAACTATATGTTGTAASAGTCTAATACATAACAGTAACTTGGACCAGGGATCATCATCCCTCAGATTACCTTACACACGTGTCCTTAAATTGGCTCACTTGCTCTTTAAAACAAGGTTCAGCCAGATCAAATAGACTGCACTGATTTCATCTTACCATGTTTATTAATCACGTGAGATTAAAATTGCCTTATGTGCAAAATATTAAAGCTCTCAGTTATAAACTCATTTGTTTTGTTCCTTATTTCTCATTGTTTCCATATGTCTGGAAAAAAGAAACTGCTTGGAAAATCAACTAAGCGTTACCTGGTTTCATGGGATTTGAGTCCGCTTCCTTGTAATTCATTGGCAAAACTCTAGCTGACTTAAAAAATAGTAACCTCTTCATATACCTCCACATGTTCTACTACAATAAAGTGGGGCTCCCTCCTATGTTTCTCTTCAGGTGAGGAAGGCTGCACCTGAGAAAGCAGATCTGGTCCCACTCAGTTCCTAGCGGGACATAACCCCGACAATTTCCCTAGTTCCTTATAATAAATCCAATTAAACAGATATGACCACAAACAGCAGAAACATCAATGTCAGAATAGGCTATGCATGGCAAATCCGAACTCAAGTCCACTTTACATTCCTCCTGACAGCTCCTGTAACAAGCACACAGAACTAAATAAAAAGCACGACCTGTTTAAACAAAGACCAGAGTGTCAGTTTTATCTCTGCATTCTCTCATGTTTGTCATTCGGCATCGGAAACTAACACCAAAACAAGTGTCTTACAAACATCGCTTTAATGGAAGGCTTTCACATAGGGCATGATGCGTTTGCCCTAGGCTACCAACAACATTTATGTATCTTTAAAATGGACATTTTTCTTCATGTGAACTCATACAGGTATTTCCTGCGGTTGTTTTACTTTAAATTAAGAAAAGGGACAGCAAAGGGGGAAAAAAAAAAAAAAAA